GTATTTTAAAAGTGTAATAAATAAAATCAAACCCGAGAAATTTGGCGGCTTTTTTTTTTTTTAAAAAGCGCCAAAAGTCGATTGAGCGCCAAGACGGTTAAATACGCTTTAAAGTTTATCAAAGTTTTCGTCTTAGCGAATTTTGTGAACACAACAGGTTATCTCTTAAGTAGGGCTGTCAATCGATTCAATTTTTTTATCTGATTAATCACATCCTTTTTCTGTGATTATCTTCATGAAATTAAGCATAGACCATTTATCTTGTTTCAAATGTTTATTTTGTCATCATTTGCTATATCCAGAAAAGTAAACCAAAAGATTGAAGGGTGATTCTCAAAAATCTATATTTTCTGCAAGCTTTTTTCAAGATAAATTTAGATGTCTTTCCAAAAAAGGACACTTAGAAACTCCCAAAGGACACCAAAGAACCAAATGATATAAAGAGCCCATATAAGCACATATGAAAGAAAAAAAAATCAGAATTTTATAGTATGTGTACAGTGCAACAGCAAAGAGCTTTTTTACATTTGGAGAGTTGAAGTACACCCAAGGGAAGTAGCACTTCACTACAGGCAAGAAGAAGCCAGGGGCAAAGAAGTGGAAGGATGCCTTGGAAAAAATGAATAACTGCCCATTACACAGACAGACCCATGTTTACGATATCTTTGGCAAAAGAATCCCCTGTAAATGCGGGTATCATAAGTTATGTAATGATAAATGTGATTATTTTACCTACGCTGTTGAGCATTACTAATTTTTTTCATAACAGAAAAATGCTCATGATTTGTGCTGTAAAGCTTGAAATATTGTAACATTTTATACATTAAGTTTTGGCTCATAGCATGATAGTGAAAGTATGGAGCTCATACTTGATGAGGTAAAAAGTTTTATTTTCACAAGCACAAACTTAGCAAAATTATGCAGTAATTGTACGTCAGTACAATTAAGTGAAATTCTACTTCTATGAAGACCTGAAGGTGGGTGTTTTTACAATTATTCTAAAATGTCATTTAGTTTCTAAAAAATGTAAAGTATGAATCAAATGACAGAAGGCATGTAGTAATTGTGTTCAACATGTTTTTCAGCAAAGTTTTGATTTTGATAATTTAGAGGCATTAGATATTTGTGTACCAAATGATGCACCTTTTTTAAGGCTAAAAGAACATTGTTTACCGCACTGGCAATATAATCAGAGAAAAACTTTTTTTTTAAATTTTTTTTTTTAAGTCAGCTGAGCAGACCGCATTAGGCGTGCAGGCATTCAGGCAGGACCATTGAGCGGTGCAGGCTCCAGACCAGCCCCTCAGAGCAGTGCAGTCTTCAGCCCGGCCCCTCAAAGCATCCTGTTTTTTTTATATTTTCATAATTTCAGATTAATTCCAAATTAATGTAGAAACAACATAAATATAGTATATTTTAAATATGTTTTTAATGGCATCGTTTTACTAAGTAGCCTATTATTATTAATGAAGACTTGATACCAATACTGCTACTGGTGTCTCTATTAAATGCATTTCCGTCAATTTGACCTATTAATTATAGCCATTCAACATTACAGTATAATTGAAAGCCATTATTTTTAACATTTAATAGGCTGACTCTCAAAGCCGTGATTCCCATTCGCTTCCATTATATGACTGACAGACTGCAACAGTTTGAGTTAAAAATCTTTGTTTGTGTTCTACTGAAGAAACAAAGTCACCTACATCTTGCCCTGGGGGTAAGCAGATAAAAATCTAATTTTCCTTTTTGGGTGAACTATCCCTTTAAGTCAAAGGGTATTTCAAAAATACTTTAAAAAGTGGACTAATATGTTCATTATCAACATTAGGGTTGGGCCGATAAACAGTTCCATCGCCGATGGCTGATAGGCATCACGATGTTGAGCCGGCATCGTGACCACCCCCCAACCCCGGAATCCGCCGCATCCCAATACCGTGTTCTGAAAGAAAATGATGTGAATAGGGAACCCCTAAAGGGGATAAATACTAGATGGGAAGAAAATATATATTTCAATATTTTTCCCTCGCAGTTATATCATTGGGTAATTATACTACATATATTTCGGGCATCAGGTAGCAGCTATTATACCTGGCATTGAAACTGCTTTTGAATGCACGATCGCTTTTTAGTTTCACTTTCACTTTCGAGATTCTCGATTGCTCTGTTTATCCTATGGAGCGGCAGTACTTAACACACATTTTAGATGTTTGTCAGTGGTGCTGAGGATCTGCAAATCATTCGCCATCGTCCTCAGTCATCTCTCCTTACTCTGTTTATGTGGTAAGTGAAATTTTATTTACTGTAATGTAACAGGCAACCGTTACACCGTGTCTACACCAGACCTGACAGTTGTCCTGACGTGTTGCGCCGCACCATGTAGACACGGTGTTCTCCGTGCCTTATAAGGATTCACGCTTCGGGCACACACCGGGCACACACTTTAATTATATCAGCTTAATCAGTCCCTCAGTTCAAGCCTCAAAACTGCTTGTTTCCTTAAACACACACATATATATATATATATATATATATATATATATATATATATTAGTGAAATGTTCACAATATTGTCCATACAACACTGAACCACAATTACTTTAATAAAATATTAATATTTTAAATTATCAACTTAATTTTTAAAATGAAAATGACAAGACCCATTATTCATTTTTCACAGTGTACTCATTGGGAGATTTATTCATGAAGGAATTATCATTTTTATTGCAGTCATACACACATCTCCACATCTGAAATCTCAAAATGCTTGATGCACAGTTAAATTATCAGTCAGTTATGTCTTAAAATGGATCTTATGGATTAAGAAACTTTAATTAATGTTGTGACATAACAAATCTCAAAATTAAATGAATTGCTAATTGCAATCCTCTTGACATTGAAAAATGCAAAGCCTGTACAAATACTAGAAATGGTGAAACATAATTAGTAATCATCTTAAAAAATGGTTATATATTTTGTTCATAGGACTTTCATGTCATTTTGCCTGTTTCCTTGATCTTTATTATATATGATGTCATTGCGTTGCTGTCTTGCCGCCAGCCAATCGCTGCATTGCTGATCATGGTTTCGTGTATCGATGACCTTCCCAATGAATATGCCAACGCTGAGTGATCTCAGACAACTTGATCCAGATATTTTAATCAAATCCACTAACTTGTATAAAGAACCAAATTAGCCAGGGATCAGCTATCACGATTAAAAAATATATGTCAAATCATCTCCTGTATTAAGCGAGATACGAAGAATGCACCGCAGATTTGCACTTGACAGATGCTCGCTGACTCCTATCTCTCTCTTCCCTGTTCACAGCGCAGCGAGCAGCTCCACGGATCAAAGGGTGGCATGACTCTGCTTTGATCGTTATTCACGGTAAATTCTTACATTCTACGGACATTTAAAGGTATGCTAGCTAATAACAGATATATAAAAGGGTGGCATGACTCTGCTTTGATCGTTATTCACGGTAAATTCTTAAATTCTACGGACATTTAAAGGTATGCTAGCTAATAACAGATATATATGCATATAAGCTAGCGACCAAACGCGTTTCTATGGAAGCTCAGCTCTTTGATCACACGAGAGAATGACAGATCTGATGTTCCAATGTAACATTAAGTTACAAATTTAACATTGTATAACTGCAACAATGTATCAATGTTACATGTGAATCAGAGATTTGAGTGGCATTAATTCATGCTTGCTTGTAGTACAGTAAATTATTTCATATATATATATGAAATCATTTATTAATCGCATCCAAAATAAAAGTTTTTGTTTACATAATGTATGTGTGTATACTGTGTATATTTATTATGTATATATAAATACAAGCAGCAATAAATAAAGTTGTGCTGTCAAACGATTAATCGCATCCAAAATAAAAGTTATTGTTTAGTATACTGTGTGTATATATATGATGTATACATAAATACAGACACATGCATGTATATATTTAAGAAAAATATGTTATGTTTATATATTAAATATATTTATATATAATATCAAATATAAGAATATAAATATATAAATGTATACACATGTAACTATTTAAAAAATATATACTATATGTGTGTGTATTTATATATACATAATAAATATACACAGTATACACGCATTTATTATGTAAACAAAAACTTTTATTTTGTATGCGATTTATCGCGATTAATTATTTGACAGCACTAATATATATATATATATGTATATGTGTGTGTGTGTGTGTGTGTGTGTGTGTGTGTGTGTGTGTGTGTGACCCTGGAGCACAAAACCAGCCTTAAGTGTAAATTTTTCGAAATTGAGATTTATACAACATCTGAAAGCTGAATAAACAAGCTTTCCATTGATGTATGATTTGTTAGGATCGGACAATATTTGGCCGAGATACAACTATTTGAAAATCTGGAATCTGAGGGTGCAAAAAAATCTAAATATTGAAAAAAACGCCTTTAAAGAGTTCCAAATTAAGTTCTTAGCAATGCGTATTACTAATCAAAAATAAAGTTTTGATATATTTACAAAATATCTTCATGGAACATGATCTTTACTTAATATCCTAATGATTTTTGGCATACATTTTTTTTATTTTATTTTGACCCATACAATGTATTTTTGGCTATTGCTACAAATATACCCCAGCGACTTAAGATTTTGTGCTCCAGGGTCACACACACACACACACACACATACATATATACATATATATTTTTATGTATAAACGTAAAAGTGTAACTATATAAGTTAATCATGATTTATTTATTTATACGACTTTATACCTAATAATTCAACAAAAATACATTATTTAATTTATATCATTAATGGATGCTGCTGGTCCCAATTTTGTTTCTCTCTGTTCTTTCTTAACGTTTTGCAGAAATGGTTAGATAATATAATCTGTTCTACTGTATTAGAAGCTTTCTGATGAGAGGTCATGTAAAAAAAAATGCAGTCTTATGTGACTTTTCACTGCTGTATTGTTTAAAAGGATGGATTTGGACGTGGTGAACATGTTCATCATTGCTGGAGGGACGCTGGCAATCCCCATCTTGGCTTTTGTAGCCTCCTTCCTGCTCTGGCCTGCAGCTCTCATTAAAGTTTACCACTGGTAAGTGCTCTCTAGATGCTTGTTAGATCGGTCTTCACGCCAGATAATAATTAGGATCCAGCCCCGAATGCCAGATCCCGTCAGAAAAGAGGTTCTGTGATACTGGGTTGAATGTTCATGCATTCAAGATGGCGCCGTTGTGTTTGGCTAGCCATCTCTCGCTCCTTCTATTTTGGATTTTACTTAATATTCTCTGTTTTTCCGTGATCGAGACGTGGTCTACAACCTTCATATATGATCGACAGATGCTGCTTGATATTAAGACTTCAGTTACCAACTTCGGCACCGATATAAGAAGCGGTTTTCATTCGCATGCTTAGTGTGGATTTCTAATTTATTATTATTATTTTATTTTATTTTATTTTTTTATTTTTTTATTTTTTTGAGATATTATCCTTTGTATCTTTATTTGACTTCTATTATCTGTACAGCACTTTGGTCAACCCTGGGTTGTTTTTAAATGTGCTTTAAGCAAGGATAAAATAATAAGAAATATTAAATATAGAAACATAATAAATGAATGAACATAAAAGAATAAACAATAAATACTTAAATATAATGATAAATGATAAAAAATTATCAAATTATTATGTGAATAAATGATTATAAATGAATAAGAAAAAAACATAAAAATAAAAACACAACACACACAATTTGCACGTGAGGATCTAAGGATCATTCATGCATAAATAGCACAGTGTCTTTATTTTATTTCAAATAGTGATTTTTTTTTTAATGATTTTCGTATGAGCTTATTATAATAACTAATTTATTTACTTGAGAAGCAAAAAGGCTCAAGATAATAAGTCTTGTTTTTAGATAAAAATGATAAAATTAAACAAGTTTATTCTTAAAATAAGAAAATATCTGCCCATGGGGTAAAAAAAAAGAAACTTATTTTCCTTTCGAATTAAGTTTGTTTTTATTACTGCATGGACAGATTTTTCTTATTTATACAAAAACGTACTTATTTTTTATACATATTTCAGAAAAAAGACTTAGTATCTTAAAAGTAATTTTGCTTCTCAAGTAAATGTATCATGATTTAAGTTTATATATTTGTACAGGAAAAGACAAAACCAAAATATAAAATAACAAAATAAAAACAGTAAGACAATTTTTGCATCATTTCTGGCTAATCTCTCGCTTTTTCAGGTTTGTATTATTTAACACTTCTCTTATCCGGTGACGGTGATAAAGGCAGATTGTTTAACCGGCCTCTTCTTTACTTCATGCCACTAAACTGGGTGAAGGGTTAGTCGTTGCACAAGACTTACGATCCATGTTACTGTACACATGTACAGCGTGCCAATGATTCAAATAGATTTCATTTTAAATAATGCATGATCTTTCTCTGCATTTGGGAAGCTAAATGTGTGTGTATGCATTAGCCGGGTACATGCAGAGCTGCATTTATTGCTGATGTCAGCTTATGCAAGCTGCCCAGTAGACTTTGGTTCTCGTAATATCTGGGAGGCAAACTTTACTCTACATGACGCAGTCATCAGAACCGCTGTTTGCCTCTGGGCCGGACAGACTGACTGAATTCTTCAATGTCACTCTTAGATTGTGTATGAACTCATGCAAGTGTTTTATAATGCTGTTTGCCAAGTCAAGCATCTCTATTACTAGCACTTTTGGTGCGCATCCGTTTGACATCAGAGTTTGTTTCGTTTGGATAATGTGAACGCTGTTTTCTGCAATGCGTGGCCATAAGGGTTGGCACAGGGTGGCAACTGCCACCCTAAAAATGAGCTTTGCCACGCTAAAGCAGAGTATGTGAGTGGAGCAGCATGATTTTGACTGAAGCGAGGATTTCTTGAAAGTTGGAGCATCGTGGTTTTCGCTCACTCGGAGCGCTCCACTGCCGCTCCATCATGCTTTTGATTTTATTTAAAAAATAAATAAAGTGCATTATTATTATTATTGAACTTTTTTATAGTAATATTTTGTGAGCACTGAACCAAATCTCCAGGTGCTTTCATGAAAACCAGACTGAAAAATTGTGCATCCCCGATTATTGTGATGTTTGGACTCTCCTTCTGATGGCAAAGCATAAGCATTATTTTACAGGACCTTTAGTTTCATTTTGAACTCTTTTTGGTGATTGTTTAACAGGTATTGGCGCAGAAGGCTGAGAATGCAGGTGGATTATGCTGAATATGAAGGATATCACTTCTGTTATTCACACAGAGGGTATCCAGGCACCCGTCCATCCGTTCTCATGTTACACGGCTTCTCTGCACACAAAGACATGTGGCTCGGTGTGGTCAAGGCAAGAAACCACTGCAGAACAGTTGCTTAACAGTTAAATTCACAATATAAACAACAGATGTTATTTTTAGAGTTTTCAAAGGTCAAAGATAAAAAAAACATGCTCAAAAATAATGAAGCGTTACTTAAAATAAGAAAAAGAAATCACATGGCCTAAAGAGCACATTTGTGACATGATTTCAAAAGCTGTGAAAAAGGGTTACATAAGTCCTATTGATTGATACCGATACTCAAGAACATCTGTTCTTAATATATGAATCAGATCTTAAAGTAAAAAATATAGTTTGACTGACTGTGCATGTTTTTGCTTTTGTAGTTTCTTCCTAAAAATGTACACTTGGTGTGTGTTGACATGCCAGGACATGAGGGTACGACACGCACCAGTGCTGTGGATTATTCCATTGAGGGCCAAGTCAAACGGATACATCAGGTGGGAGTTTTCTGGATTTGTTTTTTGTTTTTTGTTTTTTTAGAATTTAACTACTTCATTTTTTATTATTATTTATACACACACATATGTTTACAATAAATAAAAATATAATAATAATAGTAATAGTAACAATAATAATAATATTTAATAATTGTAATTAAATCTTCAAATGGGGGGATGAATGGTTATGAATGGATGAATGAAACGCATTTGTCCGTGTTTCACTCCGTCTCGAATCGCGCTTGCGTAAAGCGCTTGAGAAACAGTGTCTCTTCCGCGGCTCGATACGCTTTCAACTCGTTTTTTTAGTCTCGAGCAAGACTGTACGACATTCACATTACACGATTTGACTGATTTTTACGTAGAAAGGGTGACATCCCACCGCATTAAAATAAATAATCATTCATGTTTTCATAACTGCTGGCCAAATTCAAAAACAAAACTAAAATGAAATCATCTTTGAGAGCAAGGGGGCCCCCTGGTGTTTCGGGGGCCCTACGCAGCTAGCGTATTTTGCGTATAGGGAGGATCGGCTCCCCAATATAATGATTATATTGAATTAATAATTGGGTACAATAAAATAATAATGATAAAAATCAATTCTTTTAAAATTGTAATTCAATTTATTACATTTTAATTTAACAATTAAATGAATTCAGTTAATTTGTCAATTTAACTAACTCATTTGTTTAAAAAAACGTATCTAAGTGTATGTATGTATGTATGTATGTACATATTATATTGGAAATATCAACAATAATGAGAGTAATTTAAATAATTAAAAATATTTTTGTTTAAAATTTAAATAATAATTAATACAATAATTTTTTTGTTATAAATGTATTTATTTTAATTCAAGCAAAGAACATCAAGAAAAACTCAGTTTCTTAAAATCTGTCACTTTAGTTCATGTTATTTAGTCACTGACCCAGTTTTTCTGTTTGGCTAAACCTCACACAGTATGCAGAGTAATATGTTTCTCTTGATGACACAGTGGCTTTATTGGGCTTACATGTTGAGATTTCTCTGAAGTATCTTGAGATCAGTGAAAAGCCCTTGTGTCTTCATTTTCTCTATTCTCAGCCCAAAGCTAATCAGCTTTCCGTTAACAACACAGGCTTGTGCCTAAAATAAATGCCCTTCTTCAAACCCGGGGGCACTTTCCCAGCCTGAAAAAACTGTCCTTGCATGTCAGGTTGATTTTGACTCATTTAAGTCTGTCTGTCATTTAAAGCAACTTCTGCGAATTGCTGATTTTCACAGACTTGAGCTGATTATGCTGAAAGAGGCATTTTCAGCTTGCTAAGAGAGAGCGTGTTGTTTCGAGATGGATGAACCTTGTTTTGGATGCAAAATAAAAATAACTCACTTCTGGAGCACACTAAGGTCTCTGATTTCACTGTGCATTACAGTTTACCTGAACACTGTACCCTAATCAGAATCAAAACTTTTACAGTAACATGTCATTGTTTTGGCTTTATTGTAAGCAAAGACACTGTTCAGTGCAGTACAATTATAGCCAATCAGGAAAAACTTGAGTCATTCACACTGACAGAGATGAAATCACTTCTTTTTGAAAATAACTTTTAAGCTGTTTATTAATACCCAGCTAATCAGGGAACATGCTCATAACTCTGGCTAATGTTTTGGCAAGATTCAATATGAACAAATGTTTTAGTTTTTTTCCAGTAACGTTAATAGAACCTTCGTTCAAAGTTATCTGGTCTTTAATAATTCTCAGAACATTAGAAAAAAAAAAAAAAACATTATTTAAACATCGCTTATGATTTTTTTTTTGTCTGAAACGTTTCGTTTGGATGTTTGTCTAACATTTTATAAAATGTTGCTAGTTGTTTCAGAATGTTCAGAGAACATTCAAATGTAACGTTCCCATAATTTTTGTAAAATGATAAAACAAAATGTTCCCTTAAAGTTCGTATAACCAAGAAAAACTGGAAATTTTGAATGTTCAGAGTAAGTCAAAAGTAAAGTTTTTGTAACTTAATGGCTACATTAGCAAAATGTTCTTAGAACATATTTTTGTTAGCTGGGTAGCAGCTTGTTGTAATTTCTCCTTTTTTTTTTTCTTTTAGTTTGTGAAGAGCATCAGAATGAGCAAAAAGCCTTTCCATCTGATCGGCACGTCCATGGGAGGAAATGTGGCTGGAGTTTATGCTGCCCGTCACCTGTCTGATCTCTGCGGCGTCACACTCATCTGTCCAGCAGGTCTGATCTGTTCTGTTTTAAGATCTTCTCTGTGCCTCTTCAGCATCACAATCATCCTCTAATAGTTCATCAGGGACATTTGGAGTAAACAGCCCAATTTCAGGAAATGACATTAGCATTTTTTCTTTTATTATTTCATTTCAAAAGGTTACTTCTGAAACGGTGGTTATTATTGTTAAGTAAAGCTAATACCATTAAATAAAATAAACATTAACTGAAATAAAATATCTGAGATATAACTGAAATAATATCTGATATAACTGAAAAATATCCTCCAACGCTCTTCTGAACTTTCAGAAAAATCATATTTTCCCTCCTCATGCCTACATTAATATCCCATGATGTACTTTGTACAAAGGAAAAAGTGTTGATGAGGCCAATATACGTGAAAACAATAAAATACTGATAAAAACTAGAAGAGGTTACATGAGTGTGACTTTCAAGATCAAATAACATGTCAGGTAGATAAAACCATTATGTTTTAAAGTGCACCTATTATGGGTAATGAAATGTTGACATGCATGCAAGGTCAAACAACACTTTCAATGTCTTATAATATGCATTTGTTTTTACCTCACTTGCTCAACGACTCCCAAACGATTCGCTCAACGATTCATTTTTCCAAACCCCTCCTTTGCGTGATGCTAATCTGCGGTGATTGGTCCGATTGGTCGATTTAATTTCCATTTTCTCATGACTGTAATGCCTGATAAAGCAGCGTTTGTGAGCGCAGTGCTGCTTTGTGTACAGCGTTACCGGGGAAACCGCTATTTTACCGCTCCAAATGCAGCACCTAGTGGCAAAGAATGAATTTGCATTTTCATTCAGACTAACAGGAAAAGACCAACAAGTGGGCGGGCAATATGCTAATGTTTCATGTTGACGTCAACATGAAATG